CGAATGCTTCTCGAATCATCCTGATTGCTCCTCAAATTCCGGTGCCGGACTCTAAATTCCTGATTTTGACTCCAAATATATAACACAAAACTCGAACCGACGCCTGGTAAACATAACTTGAGCTAAAATTGAGACTTGTAACACCTTAAAGCTAGGAAAACCATCACAAGTCGATCCCAACACACATCAAATGCGTGTTGTAATACACACTTATTATACTCACATGCAATGTTGCAATGATAATCAAGAATGAACATATTCTGTGTTTTGCTAAATGCACTACTACACATTCAAGAATTCAACATTTGAAGTGCAACCTTTCTATAAAAATTGTTTCGTTGCTATGTGAAACTATTGGCGTGTTTGTGAAAATGAATTTCGAATCGAAAAAGCTAAATTATAATATCAATAGACTGAACTGATTTTTTTAAAAGGCAATGACAAAAAATACAAGCTACCTATTTGGTAGATTTGGCCTTGAGGAGTTCACTCATTCCAAAACTAGTGAAGGCGCATATTTTTGTTCATGATTAGTTGAAAATGCATGATCATCTCCTCCTAGTTGAGATGTGATTTTATCACATTTGTTCTAAGTTCTTCGTACCTAACAACTAATTTTCGTGTACACACCACTTTACACACCAGACATTTTGTCTACATAAATTGTTTTTCATTCTGATGTAATTAATTAGTGTTAAAAATTGCAGACTTTCTCTCAGAATGTACCCAGTATAACTACTCAAAGAGATCTTTTATTTAAAAAAATCTTAAAAATTATTGTGTCAACATACACTAGAGAAACTTTTAGATACTTTTTATATATACATAATACATGTTTAAAAGACATTAATCTGCATTAGTACTATTAAAATAGTCTTTAAAGTTTGTAATGGTATTGTTTGGGCCAATAAATTTTAAGAGCTCTTCTAAATGTAAGATATTTTCAGAGGTGAGAAAAAATATGTGAAATTTAAAACATAAATTAGGAACAACATATTGTTATACTGTATTCATCAAGATCTTTCCATTATTAAGATCTTCCATCATTGAGAAAAAAATTGTAACTTTTATCAAATACGTATTTACAAATTTTTTTCTTTTAAAATATTTTCGTCATTAAAAGTTACTCCCTCCGTCCCTTTTTATTTAGTCAAATTTGACTTTTGAAGTTAAAGATGTTAAATTTTGATCGATTATATATTTCTACACATTGTTTTATCGTCAAAACAGATGGCTAAAATTGATATCACAATATTCAGATAGGGGGTAAAACGACAAAAGGATCACAAGCAACCACCAGTTCTCGAACAAGACTTAGAGTCAATCACCTTCAAAAAGCAATATGATTCGTTGATCCTATAATGGGCGAATGAGCCAACGACGGTGAAAGCAGACCTCCCATTACTCAATCCTAATTCAAGAGTCTTACAACAATAAAAGTAACTAATAGAAAAATAAACAGTCTGATCATGAAAAATAAATAGCAAGCAAACAGTAAAATTAAAATGCAACTTCCAAATCCTAGACTCTCCTGCACTCCATGGAATTGGTTCAGGAGGGGGACGATCTAGCAGTACTGTAATCGCTTCCTCGCCTTGCTTCTTGTTCATCATGTTCTCTACCAAACCTCCTTGGTCACCACCTATCACGAATGACTTCAAATTCAGATCTGTTTCAGTCTCTAGCCCCACGCTTCGTCCACGACCTTTGGCCGCCAGAGACCAAACATCTGTCTTCTGTCTCTGCACAACCTTCGGCCACTGGAGACCAACCATTCTCTTCCCTCTGCTTAATCTCGCCAAACAAAAAAAAAAGAAAAATAGCCGCACTATTGATGGCGGAAGAAGAAACCTTGTACGCCTAAGCCCGCTTGCGGCAGCCGTTCCTCGTTACAAACCATAGCGGAGGAAAAAACCCTAGCGTCGGAAACCCACCCTAGAGAGAGAAGCTCTCGTTTTTAGAGATAACATAATTTTAACTTATTGTAATTTTTTGTATTTCTACATGATTGCTAATATGAAAATGATATGAAAATATTCTTTATTAAAAATACAATTATAAAAGTATAAATTTATTAAGTTTCACATAAATATATTAGTTAAAATAATGATTCAAAATTTCTTAAATAAAAAGTGGTCGAGGTAGACATATAGTAATAGTTATTAAAAGAGTGCTTGTTTGGCATATGCTAACGATCTGGTGCTCTTTTCTAGAGGGGATTATCCCTCTATTAAAGTTCTTATTGAAGCTTTGGATGAGTTTGGAAATGTTTCTGGCCTTAAAGTTAATTTTGATAAATCTAACATCTTTCGTGGAGGGCTGGCCGATCATGACCTTGCCTATATTCTCCATATGATTGACTTTAAAGAGGAGACTTTCCCTGTTAGATATCTTGGCATCCCTTTGGCCCCACTTAAGATTGTTGTGGCACAATATGCTCCTCTGTTGGATTCCATTACCAACTTTATAACTGCTTGGAATACTAAAACCCTCTATTATGTCGGGAGAGTGGAACTTATTAGATCTGTTATCCAAGGTGTTCATTCTTTCTGGTTACAAGCACTCCCTATTCCTAAGGCTGTACTTGATAGAATCACTTCTATGTGCCGTATTTTCCTTTGGGGGTGCAAGTATGCTAGAGTAGCATGGGCTGATGTTTGCCTCCCTAAAGAGGAAGGTGGTCTTGGTATTCATGATACCCATGTTTGGAATTATGCGCTACTTTCTAAAACCCTTTGGGATATCCATACTAAAAAGGATAACCTTTGGGTTAGATGGATTCATGGGGTCTACCTTAATGGTAGAGGTGTTTGGGAGTTTACACCTCATAAAAGAGGCTCCCAACTGATCAATAAGATTGCTCGGATTAGAGATCAAATCTTATCCAAATTTGATAGCACTCAGGCAGCCATTGACCATCTCAATGGTCTCCAAATCAATGGCAAACTCTCCTCGGCCAAAGTGTACAATCTGCTCAGAATTAAGGGGGAAACTCACGGCTGGATGTCTTTCATTTGGAAGAACTATATCCCCCGCAAATTCTCTTTCAAGGTTTGGTTAGCCTTTCGTAACCGTCTTGCTACCTTTGATAACTTACATAGATTAGATGTTGTTAATGTATGCCCTTTTTGTAAGGGTGGTCCGGAAACGGTACCACATCAATTTTTTGCTTGCTCCTTTTCAGGTAAAGTTTGGCATAGGGTGAAGACTTGGCTGGATATCCCTAGGGAGATGAGGACCATGCACAGCTCGCTGAAATGGATCAAAAGGAAGAGACAAGGTTCGGGGATCAGAGCTAAGGCGGTTAGGATTGCTTTTTGCTACTCCATTTATTGGATTTGGAGAACAAGGAATGCAACTTGCTTTGATGGGATGATCCCTAAGGAAGATGATGTGTTTGGTAGCATCCCATATATTGTCTATAAGATCCTATATAGCCTTTATCCTCGTGAGATTGTAATGTTTTGATTTTTTTGTTTTTAGCCTTCTTGTTGTTTTGGCGGCTGGTCGTGTGTGGTGTGTGATGTTGTTGCGGTTTTGTGATTCTCCATCACCTTGTTTAGGTGCTGGCCGTGGCTTTGGCTTGTTTGTTTGTGTTTGGGGAAAGATTATCCTTGTTGGATAACCTTAATTTTTGTTTCCCTTTTGCTTGTACATTCCTTGAACCCTTTTTCTGGGTATTTTCTTTAATATACTTACAGTTCATCCAATAATATTAAAAGAGTACTTGTTAAATAAAACTTTCTTAAAAATCAACTTATTATAATATTAGGTGTATCATACTTGCCAACAACATAACGTTATCATTTTAAAATCTTTTCTGCTACTAAAACTTTATCATATTAAAATCTTCCAAGTACCTGCTATTCCGTTTAGGGGAGAGCAAACCTGATCTACCCGATTGACCCGACCGGATATATCCGATTTTTTTGTTGGGGTCGGAAAACCCGACCCGAAATACCTAAACCCGATCCGATTTTTGCAACCCGAGACTTAAGCGGGTAGCGGGTAGGGCTACCAATTATGCTACCTGACCCGCCCGAAAAACCAAACTAGCATAGTATATATACTACTTTAAATTATTATGCATGTTCAAATATCTCAATTATTATATGTCAATTACCATATTATGCATGTTCAAATATTCCAATTACCGTATTAGTACAACTATAACTTTGAATGTTGTGTTGTTACGACTTTGAATGATATTTTGACCAATTATCATTTTATTTATCACAATATCAAGTATGTCAATCACCGTATATTATTATTTTACATGTTCAAATATGTCGATTACCGTATTTATACAACTATTACTTATGAATGATATACTAGTATAACTTTGAATGATATTTTTACCAATTACCATTTTATTTATCACAATTTCAACAATAATAAATTAAAATCCGAATGGACCCGAAACCCGAATCAACCCGACCGTAACCCGAATTTCTTCGACCCGAAAAAAAGCGATAAATTTTTTGATAGGATAGGGTTTGAAATTATCAATCTGATACCTGAACGGGTTTATCATTTTTGAACCCGACCCGCCCGAACCCGACCCGTGCTCTGCCCTAATTCCGCTAATAAAAACTTGGTGCTTGCTATGGTACCCAACAAAAATAGGAGGGTACCAATTCTAGAATGCATTTCATTGGTCCAACTCAAAGTTTTACATTATATTTGCATTGAAATTATTCAATTGAAAATTGGGTACCAATTTTTTATTACCATAAAAATTGCCTAAAAACTTTCTTAAAAAAACGACTAGCTAGCTAATTAGGTGGAGTGGTGGAGCTAGGCGCGCAGCATGCGTAAGGTTGGCGGGGCAGAGGGATTACATGAAGGGCACGTCATCCCGAACTAAAAGTGGCAGGTGGCGCCTCCAAGCCAACGTGTCGCCTTCATGGGATGCCACCGCCTTATCATGGGATGCGCATACACATCCATCCATCCATCCGTATTTAAAAACCTCCCCTCCCTCCATCGTCTTCATTTCATTACTCTGCAAGAAACCGTTGAATTCCAACAATGGCAGCCATGTCAATAATGACCACCAGCAGGAACGCCATTTTTAACTTCTCCAAATCCCTTTCTCGAACCCCTTCTTCTCTCTATCGCAGACCCAAAGTCTCCAGAGTTTGCTTCTCCTCTGCCTCCACTCCCGAGGTACGTATCAATTCACTTTTATATGTCATGACGCAGTGTGGATTTATAATGATGAAGTAATTACTACTAATTGACGCAGGGATTGCACGCATCGGGGGATTACGGAAGGAGAGAAGGCAACAGGACCGTGGGAGATGCGGCGGCAAACATTGCCAACCGGACGAAGGAGAACACGAGAGAAGCGGCGGACAGAACGAAGGAGAAAACCCAAGAAATGGCGGGGAAGGCTAAAGGAAAAGCAGAGGACTTGAAGGAGAGAACAGAGGACAGGGCAGGGGAGGCCAAGGAGAGGGCCAAAGAAGGGGCGGGAAGGATGGCGGACAAGGCCAAAGAGTATGCCCACGAGACGAAGGAGACCACCAAGGAGGCGGCAGGTGCCACGGCGGAGATGACCAAGGGAGGGGCCAACAAGGCGGCAGATGCTGCCAAGGGCGTCGGTCAGAAGGCTAAGGAGACGGTGGAGGGTGCTCTGGGGGCGGTCAAGGAGACTGGTCAGAAAATAAAGGAAACTGTGGTGGGGAAAGCCGAGGACGGCGACGATGGAGAGAAGAGGATTGACGAGCTGAGGAGACGTGCAGCCGGTGATAGGAAAGTGTGAAGGCCGACGATGGATTTTAATTAATTAGAGCCTGCAGGAAGCAAATATGTATAATAATAAATGCGAAACGTAGATACCTGTATTGCTTCTTTATATACTCCGTTTATGTGTGTTTTATTCTCCTCCACCATCACTAGTATATAAATCACTTTCATAACGTATTTTCTTTTGTCACTTTCATAAAGTCGAATAGCAGTATTATTTGTACAATAAATAAATCCCTAAGCCAGCTACATTTTAAAAAGAACTTTTTAACAGTCTTTGGAAATTTTCAATCCAAATAAAAACGTATGGGAGGACCTTCATCGAATCAGCTACTTCCTTAGCTGATTAGAACCTTAAATCAAAAGAGGTTTATGTGGATTACAAATACCGACTTCAATAGGTATTTGTGTGCATGCCCTTCATCTGTACACAGTATTTTCGCTGTGTTTCTATTTTCGTAAGATGATAGTGATGCAAGAACAACTTGGGGTATATGCTACAAAAGCAATGTACACATTAACAGAAGACTGTCATTACAAGAAAACAGAGAACGCCAAGTTCTCTGATATGCTCACAGATGACTGATGGATCCTGTCATAACTTGCTGGAAATATATTTACTTTGAGCACTTTCGGACTTGTCAAGATGGGAGTCCTGATTCAGCAATTCATTTCTGTCGGCTATAAACTTAGCAAACCGGGAACCCTTTAAATCCTTCCCACCACCGTCTTCGGGAAGTAGTGGTGGATTAAGCAAAAAGGGGCTCAGTTTGGACGAAAAAGGAGGTGCCAATGCCCACACAGCAGATAGCTGCTCGTTTGGTTCGTCCAGATATTCCAAAAGTGACAAGTCACGCGTATCTGTTGGGAGAGAACAGACAATGAGAAACAAAATCCTTCTCTTTCATTTTCTGAAAAAGGAGAACCCTGCCATGTATGATGGTTAAAAATTGAGAACAAAACAGATTAGGTCAATGATATCAAAATACCTTCAGAGAACTTAAAGATAGGCTCCAAGGCTGCACAGGGGATGCTGAAGTTCAAACAAGGTATAACAGTCCCTCCACCATGTCTGGCATTGCTGTGCAAACATCAAGTGCCAAAGATTTTTTAAAAGATCACAATATACAATAACGATAATAATTATAATAATAATAATATAATAAGAATAATGTGATGGTCAACATAGTTAAGAACCTCAGGAGCAAACAAAAAAACAGATGATAATAATGGTATTGTCTGCAATGCACGCCAATAGTAGTATAGTACAATACTACAAGAAAATGAAGTCAGAAATTACTTGCAATAGTAGTATAGTACGACAATACAAAAAGTTGAAGTCAGAAATTACTGTTGTTTGCATCTATACTCAACGTTTATGATGCAGACCAATTCATATTGGTTCCAAAGACATATGAATAAGGAATGCACGCATAACAATCCTAGATAGAATTAACTTCCTCCATTCCTATTTATCCGTCTATATTGGCCAATTTTCCTTGTTCCTTTTCATCTGTCCATCTATAAAATCTATGCATATTACATAGTACTGGTATATTTTTCCCAATAACCCTCTTCCCCAAGAAGAGCATACATGGAAGGGCGGATTTTAATGAGGATCAAGTAGTAAAGGTTTGGATTAATCCATACCTGGTGACAAGGCCAATCATGAGCCCGTCAGAATTAACAACTGCTCCACCACTACTGCCGGAATGTACTGCTGCTGTTGTTTCGAGCATTGCAGGAAAATATCTTTCTCGAGTGATCTGGTAGTGCACAGACCTCTTCGCTTCAACTACCTTAGCTATCACACCAAGGCAAGCAGATGGGAGGAATTCTAAAACAAAAGACAGATGTAAATATTACAAATATATTATAAAGACTGTACACAATGACCTTGTTTGGCACATATGCCATTAGCCAATAGCTGATTGTATTAGACTAGTTTGGCAAACCAAACTCATCAGCTAGTTGATAATTCGTAAGTCAAATAGTATTAAGAAGATATTTTATAAGTAATAGCTGATAAGCTAGCTAATCTCATTAACTGTTTGGTAGAAAGTAGCTGATAGGGATAGGTTAGACATACAAAATGACGTAAAAGGATACAACTGAAACAATTTATAAATAAAAATGACGCCAAATGGAAAAGCTCAAGCTTTTTAAATATTGAATATATCATTAAAAGAGCTGATTCATGGGCTTATAGATAAGCTCAAGCTTTTTAAATAAGTTGGCTCAATTAGACAAAACGTATTTAAATAGCACTCTTAAAAAGCCGATAGCTGGATTATGGCATTCCAAACATAGCTGTAGATGTTTTAACCAGTTGAGTGCATTATCAAAAACCTATGTTGTTGGGGAGGAAAAGCTGTAAAACGTTACTTGTTTGTGAAAGAAAAAGGAATATTCGCCTCTACAACACTTGGGAGTAGAGCTTTTTGTAAAACATCTTTGGAAACAAAAAACTCTTCCAATATTCTGTATACCGAACAGAAAATCTCCAAAGAGCTAATTGCAAACATGCCCAATATGCTTTTTAGAGGGACACAGGGTGAAAGATATTATTTACCACATCGCGGTCCAAACAGACCATGACTAAGAATGTAAGCCTTTGATCCAGGGGAAGGGGCTGTGAAGTCCACAGAAATGGGGCAAAGCTGATGGGGAACGAAATCAAGTTGCAGTAGTGCAACATCTAGTGGTCCTTTTGAAACATGAATAACCTTTGCATCAGTCCATACCCATGGGTCCATAGAATCCAAGCGTACACGTATACTTCTGTGGTCTTTTCTTCCCAGGTTGATACTAAACCCTATTTCAACTTTATCACCACCTGGACATTTGCTTTGATCATAGGGCGTAACAGCAAACTCGGGTGTTGCCTTATGTGTTTCGCCAATTGTGGGTGCCTTTCCGAATCTCCACGGCTCAAGAAGGTGAGCATTTGTAAGAATAAGGCCTTGTTTGTTGAGCAAAATACCAGAAGCCCATGCCCCATCATTCACAGTGATGAGACAAACAGAAGCTGTTGCCTTCTCAATTGAGGATGAAGATGGAGGACCTGAAGGGATACATCCATGAATGTCATTTGTGGATCCAGTGTTAATACTCGAGATTCCTTTGTCATGTTGGGTGCCATTCTGAATACATTGAGGATGCTTCTGCAGCAGATCACAACATGCAGATGCAATAGCTTCCCATGGGATAATCATCTGTCACCCAAAGTTTAAAAAGTATACCAAACAATTGCTTCCTATACGTAACCAAAAAAAGAATAAGAAAAAACACTGCAGCAAATTTGCTTATGCAATCCTTCCCATAAAAACGTACACATATTAGGAGCTGTGTGGGTTTTATTCCAAACATACTTTTCTCTCGAAAAACACTTTTGTTTTGTTTCAAACCAAAGTTCTTTTTGTAGATACGTTTAACTAAAAGCGTTTTTGATACTTCAGAAGCACATCAGAATGGACGCTTAGGCTCTGTTTGGAAGCCTTATTTCTCTTAATCTGCTTATCAGCAGGCTAAGTATCTTTTGACTTACTTATTTGGCTGCAATGGATGTCTCCCAACACTTTCCCTTGCAGAAAGTTCATTAGATCCAGCCATATCAGGCAAATAACCCTTACCAGACATGCGCTAAGTGTCACATTTTCTGAAAGAATAGGGGTTCCTACATTTTCTGAAAGAATAAGGCCCCTAAATTTTCTGTAATTTACAAAGAGAACAAAACCTCATATGCTTACATGAATTTCAGTCGCGCTAGTCATCTGTTTTAATGGTCTCGTAAGAATGCCTACAAGTTCTGTACGTTCCCCAAAAACTGGGCTTCCTTCCATTCCTAAGACAATATGAGTCAGAATAGAGCCAAAGTTACACTCCCTCTGTCCTTTTTCCGTAAGATACAATTTCCTTTTTAGGTTGTCCCAAGAATAAGAACACTTTCCTAAATTGAACTCCACTAACTTTTTACTTTCCCACTTTATACTCCTATCTATCATTTTATACTTTTATTTTTTGTGGACCTATACTACTCTTTCTTACTTTCAAGAGGCTACAAATGTAAAAGGACATCATCATTTACTTTCTTTATATATGTACAAAACCCAATTGTATCTTATATTTTGAGACGAAGGGAGTAAAACATAAGAAATTAAAGAAAGCCAAGTTACAAAGAGAGCTCTCATACCAGGAAGACATCGAATGTCAGCCATCAACAATGATCTTGTTGAGGTGTCAGATGGGTAAATATTGGCGATGGATCCCACCGATATACTGTTCCATCAGCAAACTAATAAAATGGAGCACTCATAGGAAGAATCCAACAACTCACTAGGAAACAGGTCAAACTATTATCAACTTGAGTCGGGTAAATCAGATTTCAGAGAATGCTTGGTACGAGCATGGTTGGTATATGAGAGACTCGTCCTTAGTAAGTCAATAGATTCTACAGGAAAGAGTCATCATCGACAGAAACCCTAGATAGACTTGACCTTGTCAAAGTATATGTAATTAAGCTTGTATTTGTATGGCATTATTGATGACGATATGCCCCAATTTATACAACCACAATAATCTTTGTGAGCGAGTAAAGAGAGTCTTAATCTATTACGGAGTACAACAACTCTATTAGGAATACTACATAAAAACAGAATACAAATACTAATAAGAAACTAATAATAACTAAAGAAATTTCTCTAAATAAGAATAAAAACAATCGGATATCCCAAAATATGAGTATTATGTTTGTTTGCCCTACATAGGACATGGAAAATACTGCCAGATTGCCAAATATGGCATTAACATTGTCATATTAATGTCTCGTAATGCCAAATTATGTCAGTATCATTTTGTGATGTCAGTAATTTACTCCTATTTAAGGAAATTATACAGTACTCCTATTTCAGAATTTCACATTATTTTTACTCCTATTTCAGGAAATTTCCCTAACAATTGTAGGAAACAAATACTAATTCTAATATTATAAAAACTCTAGTGTTGATTTGGTTCCTTGAGACCATCAACCAGCCCATATCATACTAGTGATATTAGACAAGTTCTCAATGGCCCATAAATGGATCAAATTAAAGCTAGTATGAGCAAGCATATGAATTTTTAAAAAAGGCTAGATCAATTATCAGGAGTGACAAATTGCTCCATGTGGTGTTAACTTGATGACTTGTTCATCAGAAGGTAAAATACTAAATAATAATGTTTAATTGTTTATAACCTATTGAAACTGAAATGTACAAGATACTTCCTTATTAAACAAATACCTGTTAAAAAAATGAAGAGGAGATATGATGCCAAAGGGAGAACCAATTGACACAAGATGATCGCCCCTCTTATTTGAATGGGATGTGCTTATCTTTGGAAGACCCTATATAAGAAATAGTTTGGAATGAACTCGGTAAAGCAATGAAAGATACAATGCAGTACCACTAAAAGAAGATTAGTTAGGTCATGACGTATCATGCCAAATGCCATGCAACTGGAAAATACAATATATATTAATACCTCATATTGACTGAAAGAAACTCTGAGAAGAGCAACTCTAGTTGCTGATTTGCCCATTAGACTTGGATTACTGTATTCTGTCCCTAGAATATAAGTTTGGCTAGGCAAAGAAGCTTGCTCAACCTGAAATAGTTATTCGAGAAATCCTGATACATGATAGACCACCTACAATGTCAATTTTCTGAAGTTTCTTCTATCATTTTAATAGAGCCTCTTCAACATTGTTATGAAGATTAATAAAGAGCTAAATCATATGCCTTTTTGGAAGCTATCCGAAAGAAACCACTGGCTCATATTAAAAAGCAACTCATGCAATTAAAAAACACCGGCATAAAAAACTAAATCTTGATTTTAGAAACATGTGTATTTTCACGAGACTGTCCAACGAAAAAAGCGCAATTGTAAAAGAGAACCCAATAATACTCAACCATCACTTGCAGATCACTAAGTTTGAGGTATTGAGTTTCTTTGAAGGATCACAATGATACGGAACAGCTAGGGACCTTCTGCTTTAGTTTTATTTGTTTTTCTAATTTTCTGAGAAGAAAATTAAAAAAAAAAACGGAAAAGGCTGAGGGGCAAGAATATGCAAGCTCTGATACCAAAGTGTTACAAATTTGGTAGTGATCTCATCCGAGTTCTATGAGAAAATTATGGAAGAGAAAAAAAGGCAACAAGAAATTAGGACAAATAATTAATGAGAGAGAAAGAACGGAAGAAGCGTAAGGTAGAATTAATAGATTAAACTAGTCAAGACACCAATGAATTAATTCTTGAAACATAATTCCTAAAAGCTAATAAGAAGTTGGATAGGGAATAACAATAGTTATAGGAAACTACAACTTTACTACTACTACTACTATTACTATTATTATATATTATTATGATTAATAAAAGCAAGACTTCTTCATCCACATGACCGTAACAGGAAACATGTCATATCCTAGTTGGGAAAACTATGCTAACTGTAGAAGTGTAGAGAGGAGTCCGCCGAATTGTTGTAGTATGAGGATATAGTTTGTGGTGAGCAAGAGATTCCTTTTCTTGTTTTACACATTGTAAATTACACATAAAGCATCTTGCTTAGTGGCATTGAACCCTAGATAAGTTTTTTATGAAGAGAATAACAAAAAAGTAACACTCAAATTACATGCTCCATATACGAATAATTTTTAACAGGCATTGGAGAACATATCACTTATTTTAAAGCCTCATAAAAAAAATAAGGTGATATTCAAGACAGGTCAAACATACTAGTACACACTTTTTCTAAATCCTCACGTCATAAATAAATCATATCCATAAAAAATTCTAGGAATTGTGATTAAACTTTTACTACCTTCCTCCAAATATGATCATGTTTGACCATTTACAGCTTTTAAAGTCTACTAAGGTACAGTTGCCATATTAATATAGGGAAAAGGGTCAAATAGGCCCTCGAACTAACTTAAAAAGTGCAAATCACCTCTTATATAGGAGGCTCTGTCCGGCCGTCGCCATTTGGGGCGGTTCCCGGTGGAATTTTTTGATGAAATTTTTTTAGCATCTTCTTCATCAAGTCTAGTTCACCCATACCAAATTTCAGATAAAAATTCAACCGGGAAGACAGTCAAATGATTTTCTGAAATGTACTGCACTGTTTAACTGCGCAGTTATCTTCAAAAATTCATTTGACTGCCTTCCCGATTGAATTTGTAGCTGAAATTTGGTATGAAAAAGATGCTCAAAAAATTTCATCAAAAAATTCCACCGGGAACCGCCCCAAATGACGACGGCGGGACAGAGCCTCCTATATAAGGGGTGATTTTCACTTTTTACGTTAGTTCGAGGGCCTATTTGACTCTTTTCCCTATTAATATATAAACCATGAAACATACTTATTTTTACACGGAGTAAAATGTAAGTGTTGCTTTAACTAACTTATCAAATGTAACTTGTGTGTGACTCTCTTTTGCAATTTTTGGCAAATTACATGAAAACAATCTTCGTTAGATCAAAATGGACTGTTTTTTGGGACAAAAAGTGTTGCAAGGATGCAGATACAGCACCTACCTGCTTTTGTGCAGGGTCCATAAATGATTGATGAACACTTCCATAGGAAGCTAAAGACCAACCAACTTCCCAGTCATGCTTTATTGAACCAGAAGAAGCTTCAACCAGTGATTGGATAGCAGTAGATGATGTAGGCACATTGACCTTCAAAATTAACACAAAAAAGAGACAGGCTATCAATGTATAAAATATACAGTCAGAAACAAATTTACCATCCAAATATGAAGCCAGATTCCAGTACTGGACAAAGAATGTTCCATATCATATCATACAATATCATACAAGACAGTGTATTGCACAGGAATCTGCCAAATTAGTATAAATAAAACATTCAAGATAGCTGTTTAGAGTGATGAATTTATACCACTCTAATAAGTTCAGCTGGCTCCCAGTGCAAAGCCACCGTATCTGTCATTGCATGACCCTCCTTACCCTATAAATAAGTATAGTAAATATGACATAGCATAATATATTAAAGTAATTAAACACATCAATAAGCTTATATAATCTGTGATGGTTGTTAACTCTTCAATCTTAATGACGAACAGCTCTGTTTACAAAGATTTGCATACCTCCAACAATATGTCTATCTGAGCACCAGGTATCAACATGGGTTTATCCAGCTATGTACCAGAAATCATACACCATTAATGAGAACGCAATAAAACCTTCAGTAAATTACAAACAAATTCTCCTGTAACTGATTTGTGTAAACCATTAACCTCTGACATGATGTCTCTTTGCTGCTGTAAAAGAAATTGCTCAAGAACTGAGGCAACAGTAATGACCAAAACGTAACCTCCCCCAATTTGCAAATTGCTTTCACCCGCAATCTGCCTACACGCTGAAGCAATAACAAATGAGTCCGGCAGAAGCAGTCCAGACGCTGATAATGTTGTTCTTCCAGAACTACACAATTTTTTAGCAATATATCCCATAAGCAAATAGAAAAGCCAGCTTGTATAATTCAATTATCAGCAGCTCAATAGAAGCATGAACCAAATAAACCTCCGTACTTAAAAGAGGAACATAAAGTATATACAAAAAAAAGAACTTACTTGTACAAGTGGAATGCGTGCTTTCGCATTTTCAGTCCCTTTGGGTCCTAAAATTAAATTAAATTTTGAAGTTCGATTAAATAAGATTTTTAAAAATCCGTCCTGAAGATAGGCTGCAGCTTTATATATACCGTAAATATAGTAACTTGTTTGGAGGGAACTTACAGGGCCTTGAATTCGAACCATGACGGCGAAATTGCGGCCGACGTCGATGACTTCTTGGAGGCTCATCGTCTTCGTGAGGTGCAACTATAGGGTGGGGGGTTACGACGACTTATTCAAATGCTTCAAAACAAAAGAAGGTAGGGAAGCGGAGGAGACGAAAGGAAGGAAACGTATGCAAGGATAAATTAAATAAATAAATAAATAAATAATGGTGAAATTCTAAACTTGATACTCCTCCCTCCCGTAGGTTCCCACTTTGATTCTCATTTCCATTTTAGTAAAACAATTAACAATCTTAACTCACAAATTAATCATTAAATATTAAAAATAATACATTTATAACATTACAGTTATCAATACTAACTACATTATAATATATAATTATTAAAAAAAAATCTCAAAATATATCCGAATTACTTTATTTAATTATTACCTAAATAACTGTGCCGTTTTGCTATGGGAACCTTCCAATGGCACGCAGGTAGTAGTAAATATGAGATTCACACTTTCATATAATAAATATGTAATTCTCATTTTCTTATAAGAAATCAAGGTGATATTAACAGAAATAATCCTTTTTTACATAAATAATCCCTTTTTTACATATTTTTACAATTATTTCCTACTAAAAAGATCACAATGACAATACTTACTCCTTATTTGTTAATTGTTTCACAAAAATGAACGTCACTTAATTATGTTAATTCTCTCCGTTCATCATTGTGGAACTGCTAACAAGTTCACATTATTTATTTATGTATAATTTTTCAAATCTCTTATTGTTGATTTCTAAATGTTAACCTTTTGTGATATAAAAAGGGTTATAATTGTCTTACATAAAAATTAAATAAGATTTAAAATAAATTAGTATCACATTTGTTCCAAATTATAAGAGATACTCATAAAATTTAACATTTGACTGCGTCCAAAATAATTTTCATATACTTCCTATTAATTAATACTACATCCGTCCCACTAACATTGGGACGAAAGAAGGTGACACGATTATTAAGAAAAGTGGGTTTATGTGGTTGATATTTAATTGATAAAGTAAAAATGATTAAGAGTCACACAAACTTTACCAAATATGGTATAGGACAATCTTAGTGCATGGAATTTCCCGAAAAGGTAAAATGAGACAATCTTAGCGGGACGGGGGGAGTATTTAATATAGTAATTCTAAAACTATTTTGAAATATCTGTTATATGAAAAATAAGAATGAATGTGATTAACATATTGATAAGAGATAAAAGAGAAAAAGAGAATTTGTTTATTGGTAGAAGATAATTTGATGTGTATTTATTCATATATTATACAATATTTTATGGGAAATATTTAATATTAAATTCAATTCAAAGTGGGCATAAATTTAGGAACCAATATGACAATGTTAATGCTTTTTTTTATTCATAGAACATGATAAAAAATGAAAACGTTAACACACTTGATCCATAGTTTGAGTTAATTTTTTTGAAGTGATTTGCGAGTCAGAATTATTTTTACCAAATTCATAAAGTATGGATTTTTAGTGTAAAAGTCACGATTATCTTTAAGCATTGTTTACTTTTATGTGATTTTGATTTTTGTAAATAGCTTATACTATAATACTACCGCTGTCCCAAAATTAACTTCCCATTTCGGATTACAATGTTTGACTGACGACAAAGCAACTTGATCCCTGTTCATAATCAGATTACTTTTAGTAAATAAAATTTACATATTCAGAAACTACATTAAAAACGCTACAAAGTTTGATAAAAACATGTACATTTGATAAAATTTTGATATATAAAACATAAGATGAGGAGTAATTTAAGTTGACCATGTGAATAGTGACTGTGAAATTAATTTTGGGACGGAGGGAGTAATTTATTATCAAGTCATAAGAGCATCTCCAATGCTAATACGTTAACGGTGTGTACGTGGCATGAGAGATAGTCAATCATAAAACAATAATTAAAATATCTCTCTCCTTCTATGAAGGATCTTATATCATTTTAGTAAGTTTTTGTTCACAATGTCAAGAACAATGTCTAGATATAGACATTGTGGTTGACATTGCATAGAAGTACTTACCAAAAACACATAAGACCGTGAAAAGACAGAGAGAAAAATGTCATAAGATCATTCTTTTGTAGCATTGGAGATGCTCTAAACAAACTACAAACCATGACTTGGTGACTAACCCTATGATCAGACACTACATGGCCCCATTACGAGGCCATTACCAGTTTACCACACCCTAACCACCCAGTGATCCACATAATCCATACACAAAACAAATCCTAAGTAGTAAAATGCAAAACACGCATCCCAATTAATAAAAGTCTAAAATCAGGGCCGGTCCTAGAAAAAACGGAGGCCCTGATCAGAGACAAAAAAATAGACTTTTTTCTTCTGATAAATTAGACCACTATCTAACGAGATGATAAAAGGAAAATAGTAATAAACTATTAAAAATTTGTCAAAATACAAGTTACTACGTATTAACTAACAATTACAAACTCAAATAACGAAGTTTATTTACTAATAAAGTATAATAGTGAAACAATTACAAACTTAACAACCTTACAGCCCATTAATATAATTTTGTTAAAATCAATTACAGAAATAACATCTAAATACCTAATTATTTGTTAAGCATAGCATTCGTTGGCAGAATGATTTAAACCTAATACTCCATATTACACAATTTTCTGGGCCTTTGCACTTGCAGCACATGGCCAGGGCAGGCTCTGTCTAAAATCATTTGCCACTCAAGAGAGTTTGAGACTTTCAAAGGGCCTCTACTTGACCTTTCCATGCAGTTGCGGACCTAAGCATCGGAGGTTAGCGTATGCACATATAGACTATAGACTAATATATTACACGAGACTATTAATACAATGACAAAGGTTAAACAAAACAAAAATGTGTACATACCTTCATCGTTCCGAATTGGTTGCAATTTGTAATTTTTAAGATTGATCGAGGGTAAAGTTGATTTCTCCTCGAGATAACTAAACCATTTCTACAAATAAACTTTACATAATTTGAAAAAAAATCCTAGGATATGACTAATCCTAAAATGTGACTAGTTTTCTTTTTATCCCGAAATATGACTACAAACCGGGGAAAAAGAATTCTCTTTATATTAAAATGTGGAAGGACAAAAATACTCTTATTTAAAAAATGCATTTTGCACTACTTTTGTCCAAGTAAAAAAACTGCACTTTATGCAGGCACTGTTGTGAAATTTAGTGCATTTTATGTCGGCGTTCACTACAAGACATATAATGCACTTCATGCACATAAGTTATGGCACTTTAGTTTATCGTTTTTCAATTTTGATAACTTTAGCTTTTACGTTTAATTAAATATAATGCACTCCATGCGAGAGTTTTGATAACTTTAGGATTTTATAATTCATTTTTTTCATTTTAGATTTGATAAGTGCACTTTATGTCAATCTTAATGTTCTAAATTATTGCATTTTTTGTCATAATAACCACTTTATTATGGTCATATAATTGCACTTCTTGTCATAATCATTGAACTTCTTGTGATATTTATGACATTAAATACAAATTATTCATTGCACATTGCCTTCAATCGTCTTCAACATAGGGTTTATCTTCAACCATGAGTTTGCCTTCAAACTCGGCTGCCTTGGCGGAAGAATCTGAGTTGTTGGAGTGGTGGTCCTGCGCCATTCTTTGAAAACATTAATTACGACCCACCCTAATTTCAAGAAATACAAAAACAAAAACAAAAAAAAAGAGGAGAAGGAGAAAAAGAAGAAGAGCAGGAGGACATCGGGTAGGGGCTAGCGGCTGTACTGCGGGAGGTTAGAGGTGGATGGCGAACGGTTGGCGGCTGCACAAAGGGAGGTCGGAGGTGGCTAGACATCGTGTGGCTGCAGGAAGATGGTGGACGGCAGCGGTGGGCAAAAGTGCGGCCGAGCAGTGGGACGGTGGGCAGCAGGAGGCGGGTGAGCAGTTGGAGACTAGAGGCGACAACTACAACTAGGGTTTGAGAAAAAATAGTAGGATGTTAGGGTTTCATAATAATAGCCTAAGAGCATATTAGTCCATAAAAATAATTTATTTATTTATATACTAATTAAATAGGAGAATTTAAATAATATTTTAGGGGGAAAAACTAGTATGATCATAGATTGGGAAAGTGAAAGCGTTCTAGTCATATGAGGGGCATTTTTTTGTTTTGAAAAAACATTGAATGTTCTATAAAGTGGCAAGTTCAAATTCAAATATAGTAAAAAGTTTATTTGTTAAATTAGTAAACAAAATGAAGTTGTATTGATAAAAACTCGACCTTGGAAATGGTTTTGGGAGGGAGAAAGCAGTAAACCTAAATTTGGTGGTTTGCACGCTTAACAAATTGAAGAATTAGATAATATAATTTAGAGCTATATGTTAAAATAACAACAATATTAACAACAGTTCTTTAACACATAGCAAGTCTTTAATAACAGTAAGCCTTTTAAAATCTCTTGAATGAGTGAAATTGTTTCCTTAGAAAGCTTGGGCGAACACTAAACTTGGGGTATGCTTCAAAAGTTTAAAATAAAAGTTGTAGCCTTACGGGGTTTCGAATGCGAACACCGAACATGGAACGCACTTCAAAAGTTTAAAATAAAATGTGTAGCCTTGCAGGCTAGGGTGTTCAATGACGGACGTGAAGCCTGAGAATGGTTTAAACTTCACTGTTATTACCAATTAGGATAGTAGTCACAAATCACAATTAATGTGAAGGTTATGCTTATCCTAATTAATATGTACGTTCGACCCTGTGTCCATGTATATTCTATGGTCTCTCATCTCTTTTTTTATGGAATGTAAATGCATATATCATTCTCAAAATTTTTAACAATATAATGTGTCCATAATACATAGATTTCCCCAAGGAGGGGGCTTAAACATCACTGAACATCACTAGCAACTCGGATACCGTAGGGTAATAGCACATAATTTCAATAAAATAAACACAACCCTGGTTATCTTTTGTTTTTCTTTCCTTTATTCTTCCATATTTCTTTAAGCATATTGTCGTTAGTTTAGAACGCTATCTTCTCCAAATTTATCTCCACCTCTTTGACTGAAATTGTATTTTCTCTAGCAGCATTGCTAGTAGTAGCCTCGCTAGTAGTCCCTTTCAAGTTATCCCCTTGCGTGATAGTCTT